ATTCAGCCAGCAAGTGGCAGTGCCAGAATTCCAACCAACAGTCGGGTTCCAGAGCCACGCTCCTGACCCCCACACCAAATGGCAAGCGCGTGATGCAGGTCATGGGCAGAGGAAGGGGCAAAGAGGGGGGTCACTAAAGGCAAAGACACATGGCCTGGACACTCAGCCCAGCAGACAGGTTGCACGAGATTGCAGGGGACAGAGAGAGAGCGACTTCCTTCAAGACGCATGAGCTACCAAAAGACAAATCATGCACCCTTAGTCTGGCAGCCCCGCTTCCAGGAGTCCCTCCCACAGGCATAACCTGTTCCCAGTAAGACATGCAAACACGTGCCTTCCAGCTCTACACGCAGAAACGTCTAGAAACACCTCCACGTCCATTGTAGCAAACGAGGATTCGCCCACACGGAGGAATACCACGCAGGTAAGAAAAAGATGGAGGAAGATGCACGTTGTAGGGTCTTCCAGGGAGACAAAGTGGAAACAAATCGACGTGCAAAACAACAGGTGAGCGTGCTACCATCCATGTAAAATACACAGCTCTAAAGACATATCTGTGTGTATAAATGTGGGCACACAGAACGTCACAGCTGGGGACTTGGAGGAGGAAGCTGGGCGACCAGGGTGGCTGGGGAGGTTGGAGGGGCAGATGTATTATATTGGGTACTTTGAATTTGTCCCTTGCGCATGCATCACTTAGAAAAAAAGAAAGAAGGAAAAGCAGAGAGAGGGAGAGAGGAGAGAGAAGTCGCTTTTTCCATGAAGCCTTTTCAGACCACCCAGACAGAATTAATCAAATCCCACCGCAGCTAATCCAACACTTCTCCCTTTCCTCCTCCTGGACTGGGTCCCAGTGTCTCAACTGACCCCCAGGCACAGTGATGAGGGCACACAGTAGGCCCTCGGGATGCTTCACTGGGAGCCATTAAAGAAACAAAGGCGCCCTCTGCTTCTGCCAACAGCCATTCAACCTCACCCCCCACCCCAAAAAAAATGAATACATACACTCATACACAAAATTAATTGTCACCAAACTAGAAGTGCCTTAGAAAACCCTCCCTCTCCACTGGGGGAACCTGCAAGTCACTGAGACACAAAGGCGTCAGTCAACTGGGACAAACTCTAACTAACGGTGGTACTCCAGGCAGGGGACAGTGCTGGGGAAGGAACCAGGAGGCAATCCCTGGGGACCGTTCAACCAAACACTTCCCACGTGTCTCTGGTGTGGCACAAGGTGCATCCTACCAGGGAGATCCACCCAGCAAGAGAGGGGACAAAAAAATAAGAGGGATAGGAAGGGGTGACTAAGTGGGGAGGAGGGAGCCATTTGCACCACGGACACACAGCTCAGGTGACTGTTCTTGTTCCCACCAAGGGAGGCTGCCTGGGCGACTTGGGAGAAGACTCAGAAAAGATCAGGGCAAGATCACCATGCTCCCCACCCCTCTCCCCTGCAGGGCGGGGAGGGGAAATGGCAGCCCCTTGCTGCCTTCCAAGCCCAGGCCGGCTGGAAAGGAATGCCATGTTTTCCTGTTTCCAATTAACTTCCCCCACCAGCAGCCCTCTGCATTCTTGAGACCAGGAGTCAAGGCAGCCTGGGGGGCGGAGCTGGGGGGGGGGACCCTGGTGGCAGGACCTGGGGCTAAAAGGTGGCCCCCGGGAACCTGGGGAGGCACACACACCCCGGCACCTCCCCCAGGACAGGCCTCCTGGCAGCTGACCCCCTGGCCCTTCCACTGCCTGGGGCAGACCCCACATGCTGAGGGAAGGTTCCAGGAGTCCCTGGAGGCCTCTGGGGAGGAAGTGAACAGGGAAGGGGGTGGGCACAGGACTGCCCTTCTTGGGCCTTACTAAGGCTTCTCCCACCTGCCCCCTAAAAAGATCAGTTCTGACTTTCAGTGAAGGTTCAACGTTGAGAGATCTATACGTTCCTTAAAGCCCCTCTCCTCCTTCCCCTACCCCCAAGAACTATCATTTCTATGCCTGTCATCTCACCACAGGGGGTATCTGCACATGAAGGGGAGCAGAGGACCCCTCAAAACCCCTGAGACCAGACCCTGTGAGGCACCATCTCCCCAGCTCTGTTGACGAACATGGACCACCACCATCTCGGCCCCACTAGCCCCTGCAGTCTGGATGGGCACATGCTTCCCCCGCCTCAGTTTCCTCATCTGTAAAATGGCAAGATCACCTGTACCAGCTCTCTTGCTGGGTGAGCTGGGCCCCCAGGCCCCACAGCTAAACGTTGATTCGGCACAGTGAGTGCTGAAGAGTAGCAGTACTGTCCCCAGGATCCTCAAAGGGGAAGTGTCACTTGAGTGGAATTGTTTACAGTCTGCCTTCCCCCAACGCTGGGAATCCTTCTAGGGCAGAGAACTTCTGCTGCTCACCTTTATAGTGAAATGCTCAGCACCCAACATTCCTCCCCCATGCCCACAGGGCTCACTCTGTACCCTGTCCAAGGGTTTGGAATGACAACTGTTTGGATACTTCTTTCACTCACCTCCAGGTCACTTACAGGAACTATAATTATCCCCATTTATAGATGAGGAAACTGAGGACTAGCAGCTAAATGACCTGCCTAAGGTTACAGACTGGATCGAGCCAAGGGGAGGAACAAGAAAGTTCTCTGCCAGCTGCATCAGAGCCACAGAGGGTCACAAAGAGACAGCAGGTCACAGGGCAGAGGAACAACAAGGACAATCCCGAACTGTTCAGTTTCTCTCCCAGCAGGGCTGGGTAGCAAATGGGGCCAAGAGGGGCCGGCTCAGGTGTAGGAGTGGGGAGGATGGCAGTGGGGCCAGCTCCCAGGGGCCACCCAGCCAGGCCTGAGGCACCCGTCCCTGACTCACACACCTCCAACTCTCAGCTCCAGCAGGTGACACCCTGTTCCAGCCACAGCTGAAATGATCCTGTCCTCAGCCCAGCTCCCAGGCGCTCCTTACCCCTTCCCAAAATCAGCTCTCAGGGGGAAAAAATCTGACGGCTCCTTCCATGTTATTATCTATAACTGAGACCCAGGTCAACTGAAATCAAAGGGACAAAGTGCCAAAAGAGGGGACCAAAGAGCCTAACAGTTTTGAGCCGAGTTGGAGAAACTCCAGGTGGTTGCATTACGAATTGAGGTTCCGTATGACCCAGGGCTGTGTGATCCTGGGCGAGGCCCTTAACCTCTCTGAGCCTCCATTAACCTGTCTGGAAAGTGGGAATGATAATTGTCCCTACTCTGCTTCCTTCTTGGATTGTGGCCAGTGTGTAATGCACTTAGCAGCAGCAATGCTCCCTGGGTAGGGAGATACTCTTATTTCTGCCTTGGGGGGAGAGTATGGGGAGGTAAACATGCCCCCCAAGTCCCACCAGTGTAAGGGAAGAGGGTGGTTCCTGAGCCGTCTGCCTCCCCTGTGTCCCATTAGCCAGGGTAGGGCACGTTGACAAAGCCCCCCACCCCCACCCCAGGTGCAGGGAGAGGTTGAAAGCACAGAGGGTTTGTCATAAATCTCAGGCCTGGGAGCCTCGGGTGTCCCCGCTGTTCCCCGACAGGCGCCCTCAGAAAGGAGGTGTAAGGGAAACGCAAACACTCAATACGTCTCCAGATTTGGATTCTACTCTGCGGGGGTGACAAAAGGGGGTGATGGTGTGGGCGCGATGGTCATGAACTGCAGCCCACAGGCTGGGGACTCCAGAGCACGGGGACCTGTCACCCAGGCCTCCGCCAGAGAGCTGACACGGCAGCCTCTGACCCCACCTCCCGGGAAGTTCAGCTGCTCAGAACCACAAAGCAAAACAAAGGGGCGCGGAGAGGAAGGAGCCGCGGCGCCTTCCAATCACCGCCGGCGCCCGCCGGCCCGAGCCCTCCCGCGGCTCCCCGCCCGGTCCCCGGCTGGCCGCGGCCCAAGGCCCGGCAGCCCCTGGTCCCTTGTCTGCCGCGGCCGCCCGTGACAGGAGTCAGGGAAGCAGCCGAGGGGCAGCCGGGGATGGGAAAACCAGATGGCCGCATCCCTCCGCCCTCCTCCTCCATCCCTCCCTCGGTGCCCGCGGCCTGGCCGCCCTCCGCGGGGGCCGGGGAGGCCGCCGCCCGGCTCGCCCGGGCTCACCCCAGGGAAAGGGCTGCCTTTGTCTAAAGGTCACCACCCGAGCGCGGTGCCCGGGCCGGGCCTGCTGCCTCCCGTTCCCGGGCCGAGGGGTGGAGATGGGGGGCCGCCCCAAATCTCGGGAGGTGACAGGAGTGGCTCGCCGCCCCCCCACCCCACCCCGTAACGGCCCCCGCCGGGATTAGCCAGCTGGGGGTGGGGGAGGGGGTCAGCGCCCTTCCCTGCTGGGGGGCGGGGGGCAAGTCAACTCCTTTCATTGTTTCGGGGCGGTGGGGGGGGCCAGGGCTCCCTCCGCGGCCGTCCTCCCCAGCCCGCCCAAGGCCCCGCGGCTGCCGGCGCCCTCGGGAGGCGTCTGGGGAGGGGGCGCAGGGCACGCGCCAGAGGGGGAGACGGAGGCTCGCCGCCTCCGGCCGGGAAGTCGCCGCCCGCTGCCCCGCCGCCCCCGTCGTCCCCGAAAGGCGGGGAGCGGGGCGAGGGAGGGGGCAGGCGGGGGCCCCCGCCCCTCCCCCCGTGGAACGCCAGGTCTCGCTTCTCCGCCGCCCCATTGTACCCGCGGCAGCCGGCGGGAGGGCCGGGAGCACCGGGAGCCGGGTCTGGACGGGGGAGCGGGGGGCGGGGGTCCCCACAGGCTCGGGCGGCGGTGACGGCGCGAGAGACGCGGGCTGGGGGGTGCCGGTGGTGGTGGGCGCCGAGCGAAAGAGCCGAGGCAGCGGGCGCTGCGCCCCGGTCGGGGGCTGAGGGAGCGAGCGTCGGGGGGGTGGGTTCGGGCCCGGCTCCGGCTCCCCCCACACACAGCCTCGCCGCCAGCCCCCACTCCCCCCTCGCTTTTGCGCCCTGTCACAGCCCCGACTCGCAGGTAGAGAGAGTTAAGAGATTTAAAGAGAAATTGCTACATTGTGAGAAACTCACCCTGATGTTTGAGCAGCCGTCGGCGCGGGGTCTCCGAGACGGCCCCGCACGGGCTGCACAGGGAGGACCCAGAAGGGGCCGGCCGGCCGGGCCGGTCAGCGCACTGCCTGATCGCATGGCGGCCGCTCGGCAGCGCCGCGGCCCGCGCGCCCCGCGCCGCGGCCCGCGCGCCCCGGGCCCGCGCCCGCTGCGGGGAGCGCCCCTCGGACGTGCAAAAAAAAAATTTTTTTTAATTAAATGCAAAAGAAAAAAAACCTTGCAGGTTTTGTGTTCCGCCCCCCCTCCTCTTCCTCCTCCTCCTCCTCCTCCTCCCTCCGCCCTCGCCGGGGGCCGGGCTTGCGGAGGCCCCGCCCCGCGCCTCGCCGAGCCCGCCCCGCGCGGCCGGGCGAGCGGCGGGCCCGGGAGCGAATGGGAGGCCGCGGGCGGCGGGAGGGCGCCGGGCGCTCCGGCGCGCCCCTCCCGCCCCAGTCCCGGGGTTCGGGGGTGCGCCTGCCCGCACTCCGGCGTGGTCGTCCGCGGCTCCGAGCCGTGCTGCGGGCGTCGCGGAGGGCGAAGCCGAAGGGAGCCGCGCCCCCAGGTCCGCGGCGCCCGTCCCGCCCGGGGAGGGGTGCCGTGCGCCCGGGGCGCGCCCCCGAGGCGGGGCCGGTCGCCCCGCGGGAGGACGCGCCAGGGCGAGCGCCCGAGGTTCGGAAAGATAGCGGGAGTCCAGGCTAGAAGAGGGGGAAGTCCCCCGGAGGTGGGACCGCGAAGGAGCCCGGAGTCGGAGCCGATCGGGGGAGGCGGCGGGGACTTTCGGGGACAGGCCGGGCCCCGGGCGGAGCGGATCACTCACCGCGGGCCGCGGCGCGGCTGGCCAGGCAGGTCGCTCCTGCCTCGGAGGCTCTTCCCGGCTTCTCCGGCCGCGCCGGTGGGATTCCTGGAAGCCCCGGGACGCCGCGGCGGTGTTGGCTCCGTTTCCGCCCTGCCGGCGAGACACTGGGATTCGGGCGCTGGTGCTGGGAACCGTGGTTTGCGCCACTGTATGCGCCGCCCCGGGCTGGGGACCCAGCGGGGACCCAGAGCGCTGGGGCCCCTCCGGGGCGCACCGGCCTAGGGGACTCATATTCTGGTCTTTTATTCCCTCCTGTCTCCCCAGTGCTTGGAAAACCTCGTGCACACAGTAGGTGCTCAGTAAATGTGTGTTGAATAAATGAGCAATTGAGACATATTTGTGTTTTTTAAGTCTTAATATGTATCCTATTCCTTTGGCGGTGCCACCCATAATATTTACTTCAACGTAGACTTTTCTTCTTGGGTTTTTCTACTTATCAACCCCTGGTTCACATCCTGCCTTTGCCACCTCCTTGCTGTGTGACACTGGGCAAACTACTTCACCTCCCTGCCTCCGTTTCCTCATCTCTAAAATGCAAAGGGTCATTAGGAGGACTGAGCTTTGGGGCACAGCACGTGACTGGAAGTGCCAGATAATGGTGGCTGTTACTATTATTGATGATGATCGTATAAAAAGGAAACATCAATCCCAGAAGTGAACACATGCTTTACCTGAAACATGAGAGTTTAAATGTCTAAACTTACACAGAGTTCATCCACCATGGGAAGTACGTGGACTTTTCTGGAAAACAGCAGTATACACACGTTGACAATTTTTTTGTGTAGTGCACCCCTTCCCAACGCTGCACTTGTATTTGCCACGGTTGATTGAGCTACACTTTTTAAAAGTATTAACTTGGTGGTGGGCACAGTGGGTTTTTGGGGGGATTTTTTTGGTTTTTTTTTTTGAGACAGTCTCGCTTTGTTGCCCAGGCTAGAGTGAGTGCCATTGTGTCAGCCTAGCTCACAGCAACCTCAAACTCCTGGGCTCAAGCAATCCTCCTGCCTCAGCCTCCCCAGTAACTGGGACTACAGGCATGCGCCACCATGCCCGGCTAATTTTTTCCATATATATTAGTTGGGCGATTAATTTTTTTCTATTTATAGTAGAGATGGGGTCTCGCTCCTGCTCAGGCTGGTTTTGAACTCCTGACCTTGAGTGATCCTCCCGCCTTGGCCTCCCAGAGTGCTAGGATTACAGGCGTGAGCCACCGCGCTGGGCCAACCACAGTGTTTCTAATCAGAACTGCCCGCAAGGGAAAGACCATCACCTACTTCCACCTTACAGTATAGAAAACTAAATTGGCTCAGAGAGGGTGTTTTTTGCCCAAGGTCATGTGACCAGGAAGTGGACCCAATCCTGAAGGCTTCCCTGCACAAGGGGGACCGGGGTGGGTATCACTTGTATATCTGTCATAGCTTCTAGCCCCTGGGGACTAACAACTTGGGACTGACCGGAGACTTTGTTTTTATTCATTCATACAAGAAATATTTTTTGAGTACCTAGTGTATACCAAGGATCCAGCAATGATCAGCACCACTCTGGTTCTTGCCTACCACACAGCTCACAGTCTATTAGGCCGTACAGACAATGAGCAAGTAAGCAAACAAGTCACTTGGCCTCAGTTTACCACCTCAGTCCTGCCCTCTGTGGCATGTCCCAGGTTTCTTTGGTGCATTATAGTATATCCCCACCCATAGAATAATAGTGCCTGGCACTTAGTTAATGCTCAAGAAAGGTTTGCTAGACAGAGATAATACCCACCCCCTTTATGTGCACACCTGGCCTCTTAGGGGGACGGTCGGTCTCTAGGCCATTGCCACTGAAATGGCCCTGGGTAGGTGTGGAGGGAACTAAAAAAAGGCCAGCCCTCAATCTAGCCATGGCTGACAAAGCCCTGGGATACCAAATAAATAGTGTGTCTTCCCTGCTGTCTTCTGGGCCCTGGAAGTCCTGCCCAAGCTTCAGAGTTGATGGTGAGTGTTGTCCCCATTGCTCTAGAATCAGTGGGCAATGTCTGAGAAATGTCCCCCGGCCAGATGCAGCAAAAGGGATGGCCAAAGGCCAGTGCTAGGGTCAATATGGGCCCCAGTGGAAAGACACCTGCTGTCTTTTGTGGGCAACAAGCCCCTTCCCTTGGAGAATCAGATGCAGCTTGTGCGTCCCAGGTTAAAAATTGAGTTGGGCAGTGAGACTCAGACAACTTCATCACTTGTCTCAGGGCCATGCATGCAGGGTGGGGACTAATCCAGTACACCTGGGTGTTCTGTTGCTGAGTCACCAAGTGAACCCCAGGCAAGTCACTTTTCCAGCTCCTCCATTTTGTCATCCATTCAATAAGTGTATATTGTCAGACACCAAAATCTGCCCCCCAATTTTTTTTTTAATTTAAAAATCTAAAATAAATACAAATTAATTTTTTTTCAGCCATGTGATTAGGGTATCCTTAGATGCTCCCCCCCAATTTTATTACAAAGATTTTCAAACATGGAAAAGCAGAAGGAACATCAGCATGTTACTCTCATTGCTTTATCACACCTCTTTGCTTCTATCCATCTACTAAATCCATCTTATTTTTTGATGCATTTCAAAGTAAGTTGCAGACATCCATTTACCTCCCCTGAACACATTGGTGTATGCATATCATCAATATCATTAACCAGGCAACTTAACTCTGCAATCTGATAAACACTCTGAAGACTATAATAACAAACCTCTGGGCCAGGCACTGCCTCTCATGTAAATCTCAATTCTATCCCTGTCCCCATTTGTGATGGAGAAACCTAAGAAACCTACCTTCAGAGAGGGTAAAAAACTAGTTCAGGGTCATAAACCAGAGATTCAAACCCAGCTCTCTCTGTCCCCAGAGTCCAGACTCTTACGGTAAGATGCAAGGGACAATGGACACTGAAGTTATTTTGAGACGGGGACAAAGCAGCATACAGAGGTGAGAAAATTAGGACTGGAGAAGACACACCTACTCTTTCTCCACCAGCAAAGATGCTGCACTGTGTGGTCAGCTGGGCTGCCACCCCTTGCCTGCCAGTTTGGGGGTTTTTAATCCCATATGGGTCACCATATTTCCTCTCTCCTAACACAGGGCTGGGCAGGTGAAGGACATCTCAAAAACATTTGCTTAATTAGGCCGGCGCGGTGGCTCACGCCTGTAATCCTAGCACTCTGGGAGGCCGAGGCGGGCAGATTGCTCGAGGTCAGGAGTTCGAAACCAGCCTGAGCAAGAGCGAGACCCCATCTCTACTATAAATAGAAATAAATTAATTGGCCAACTAATATACATAGAAAAAATTAGCCGGACATGCCTGTAGTGCCAGCTCCTCGGGAGGCTGAGGCAGGAGGATTGCTTGAGCCCGGGAGTTTGAGGTTGCTGTGAGCTAGGCTGATGCCACACCACTCACTCTAGCCTGGGCAACAAAGCGAGACTCTGTCTGGGGAAAATAAAAAAAACAAAAAAACATTTGCTTAATGAATATAGCTCCCAAAAGGGACTGCTGTAAAACAAATGGCTTCAATAAGGCCCTGCAGCCACTTGGCCCTACACATTGGGCCTGGGGTTATGAAAACCCCAACGGCCCCAGCCCCAACATGAGCTTGGGATTTCTGAACTCCTCATCTCAATGTTTAATGGAGTACTTTAGGAAAGGCAGGGCCAGGCGTGGTGGCTCACGCCTATAATCCTATCACTGGGAGGCCAAGGTGGGCGAATCCTTTGATCCTCAGGAGTTGGAGACCAGCCTGAGCAAGAGCGAGACCCCGTCTCTACTAAAATAATAGAAACAAATTAACTGGACAACTATATATATATATATTAGCAGGGCATGGTGGCGCATGCCTGTAGTCCCAGCTACTCGGGAGGCTGAGGCAGGAGGATCCCTCGAGCCCAGGAGCTTCAGGTTGCTGTGAGCTAGGCTGACGCCATGTCACACTAGCCCGGGTAACAGAGTGAGATTCTGTCTCAAAACAAAACAAAACAAAATAACCAAGGCAAGGCAGGAAACCCTTTCGTTTTTTGTGGAAGGGTCCAGTACATTGGAGAACTGCCCTTTCCCAGGGGCCTAACGCTCTTCCCACATCCTGCCCCACTGGCTCTAAGTCCCTCTTCCGCTTCCAACCAGCCGGCCAGCCAGCCGGAAAAGCTCCCCTTCCCACCAAGTACC